TTGCAAGTAACGGGGGGTTTGCTGGGGGTGCAGGTTATGGGGGGGTTATAGGGGGTCTTGGGTTTGATTGGTTCTTCATCTTACCTGAGTTCATGGAACAGCTGGAGGGGATTCATGGGATGGAGATGGGGATGGTTGGAAGGCTAATTCTATCTTTCCGACCATGTTTCATGTTACCCCCATAATTAGGGTACAACATATAACAAGGTCACCGTCCAAAGCACCCCCAACCCTAAACCGGACCCCCTCCTAATGGGGTTCTTGTCTGTAGTATGTTCCGCCTGAACAGCCACCTCATTCATTCACAGATCCATTCACAGGATCTGCAAATGAAAAAAAACTGCAAGTCCATCTACCAGCATGGCCGGGGGACTCATAGATCTCGATGGACTACCATTGGTATAGACGGGGGCAGGAGGAACATCATTGCATTGCACCCGCAACAGTCATTGTATTGTACCAGCAACAGTCATTGCATTGTACCCGCAACAGTCATTGCATTGTACCCGCAACAGTCATTGCATTGTACCCGCAACAGTCATTGCATTGCACCCGCAACAGTCATTGCATTGCACCCGCAACAGTGATTGCATTGCACCCGCAACAGTCATTGCATTGTACCCGCAACAGTCATTGCATTGTACCCGCAACAGTCATTGCATTGTACCCGCAACAGTCATTGCATTGTACCCGCAACAGTCATTGCATTGTACCCGCAACAGTCATTGCATTGTACCCGCAACAGTCATTGCATTGCACCCATAATGGTCATTGCATTGTACACGCAACAGTCATTGGATTGCACTCACAACAGTCATTGCATTGCACATGCGATCCACTGATTGAAACCGGTTGAAATGCTCTGCGGGCTCCATTGCAAAACATTAATAAACGCACAATTTTTTTAGATGAATGTTGGTGCATTTAATCATTTCTTTCAGAAGGTGGAATCAGCCTTTAAAATCTCTAAGAATATGGAAATGCGTTTATGAATGCAGCTAGTGAAAAAGACTGAAATTGTATCGGCCTCCTGCAGTCCCCTCCACAATGCAATAGAGGGGGAGAGGCAGCGCCACGTGGTAGATTATGGAGGAAATTGCAAATCTTAGGGAAGAATTTCTGTAAGGTCACATGAAGTAGAATAATGAAAATATGGAACAGCAAAGTATAACAGTCCCTGATATACACATGACCACTAGGGGGAGGAATTGCAAAACTCAGTTTGAGGGGGAAAAAAGAAATATGGACCAGCAAACAAAAAATGATGCAAACAAGTCGCATAAAGGTTAAAATGGAACTCCAGGTATGCATCATCCTGCATTCTTAGATTGATCCAGCTTGGCCCAATGTAAGTATACATATTTTATACCTAGTAGGGAACCCTGCAGAGCAACGCTGTAGCCGCAGCTACTACAGTGCTGGCTGAATTCGTACCTGTTTTTTTCATTCAGTCAACCTCCTGCACAGCAGAGCTCAGACTGGGAGGTCGAGGGGCAACACTCTGAGTCAATCAAGCTGTAGTGTGTGTGAGTGAACAGAGGGATGACCTCATCGATGTGCTGCTGCTCTTTCACTGTCCAATCATCAGGTTGAGAGTGTGTTCCTGACCAACCTGCTCTGATCCAATAAAGATCAAGGAACTGGCTTGACCACCAGTGAAGGACAAGGAAAGAGGCTGTGCTGTCTGGCAGGGGTGCTTAGATCACAAGACTGGCTAAACAGAGGCACAAATCCTTTCTCAGGTTAACAAAAGTTCTAATTTTTGTATTTCGGCTGTGCCCAGTGTGTTGTTCTGCTTGACTGACCTTCATACAAAATATGATCACCATATGTGTGCACATGGCTGAGACCATCTATATGTCCAGGGCCGGATTTACTCTCTCTGCTGCCCCAAGGCCAGGTTC